ACCTACGGATAAGACTTAAAACACAGATACTCCTTGGTTTAATCATGAACTTCGCCCCCCCCCTCCAATTATAAGATGGATCTGCGATATGGGAAGTTCCCTAAAACTGAACAGATTCAATTTTCTCATTTTTATAATGGGAACTACTATAAAAGATATACAAAGGTATTACAGAAAGCACCAAGCACAATGGGGCCTTGCAATGACTTTTCCTATCACTTTTGGTTTCAGCTCTCGACAAGTCTAGATAATGTCTAGAAGGGAAACAGAGTAAAAGAGGCAGAGGGAGGACACCCCAAGAATATAATCTCAGGGCTGAAAGAGGGATGTATTCAAATCCTCAGTGGGAGCCCTCACTATAATGAAAGAGAAAGGAAATAATCTAAACAAACATCAGTATGGGAATACATACATAAGTTATGGCATAGTCATGGTACTCCGTGTTATTTTAATATTTTATACTATAATATCATCCTTAAGTTTTTAAATGTTCATTATGTTTTAAATATGCAAATCTAAATATTTACATTAGTCCTAGCTGTAAAAAATCAATTTTTTGGCTTTACACTGTCTTTTCTATGTTTATCAAGACTGGCACAATGGGACACCTGGGTGGCTCAGTGGTTAAGCGTCTACCTTTGGCTCAGTGTGTAATTCTGGAGTCACAGGATGGAGTCCCGCCTGCCGCATCAGGCTCCCTGCATGGAGCCTGCTTCTCCCTCTGCCTATGTTTCTACCTCTCTCATGAATAAATAAACAAAATCTTAAAAAAAAAAAAAAGACTGGCACAAGAACTGGTTTATTAATTTTAACTTACATTCTCACATCAATGGGCATTTGGGTTAATTACAATTTTTTTCTATAGTAGAGAAGTAATTTGTCAGACATGTTCACAACTCATTTTTAAACTACCCATGGCAAATATCCACCAATTCCTTCTTCCCTCTGGGAGGGGAGAAGAGGAATAATAACAGAGGATTTGTCCATGATAATACATAGCTATCCCTGTCTGAAGGCAAAGAAAGGTCTTTCTATGTGGGATCTGATACTCAACTTTAATGTGTATGTATAATACTTTAGTATTTTTTTAAAAGTGTCTGAAGCTAATATGGCCAAAATGTCAGCATTAATTTTGGAAAAGCGGTTTCATGGCTATTTATTTTACTGCTCACTGTGCTATTTTGATGGCTTAAAATATCTATATTTTCCTTAAGAGTTTTCAAAGAAAGACTGGAAAGGTAGATTAATGGGTTTCAACCTCCTCTCTCAAGGTCCTCACAGATAAGAAGTAGGGATAAGACTTGAGTTCTCTAAGGATAATAGCTGGAATCAGATATGGGAAAACTGAGAAGCCAAACTCACCCATCCTAGTCCCATTCGCAGCCAAAAAATAAAAGTGAGGGAAACCAGGGAATTGTAGAATAATCTGTCCAATTTCTGAAGGGGCTAATTCATGTTCAGGTAGGGAAAGAGTCCCTGGAATTTAAAAAGCAGAGTAAAAGCCAGAAACATAACTGACTGAAAATTCAATATTAACTTAATCCTACCAAACTTTCTCTAACCTCTTGGATGTCTTCCAGATAGGTAGTTTTTTTTTTTTAATTTCTCACAGTATTTGTTAGAGCACACAGATTACCTTGAAGTCACCGAGTAGTTCACTTTTCCTCTAAATATTGAAGGATAGTGGGAAAGTGTCCCCAGGAAGGGCAGAGGGATCATGTAAGGCAGTTGGGCTCTTGGGCAAGAGAGATCATCTCTGGAGATTCAGATGTATTTTCTGACATGAGCAGGTCTTTAAGGGGAGTGGTCACAGGTAGACTGTAATCTCTGTGGCCCTGGGAGCTCAATTTCCAAAGCTCCTCATTAGCCCAATATGTACTGTCATTTCTTCCCCAAGGTATTTCAAATCCTTAAGGAGAACAGCTCATAGAAATAGAAAGAACTCCTGGATGACCAGATTTCCTGACCCTCAGGACAGGTATGCCTCATTCTCTTCCCACATGTTTCCTCTCACCTCCAGGCAAGGAATTTTATTCTTGGATTTCTTGGATCTTACCTTAAGAGAACTGATGAGCTTTTCATTAGACCAATTACCAGCTTTCTCTGAGTCAGATTATCACTGGAAGAGTAGCAAAGCGGTCTTTAAGTCCCCATAGGGAAAGACTGGGGATGCAGAGCATGTATCATGGGATCATTTCCCACAAAGTCACTGTAAAAAAATTTTTTAACTCAAGTCCCTTCATGAGTGAGGTTAGTACTATAATAGGAAAGAGTGCAAAGAAACCAATTTACTAGTTACTTGGGCAAGGTTTTGGAGGTTGCCTGGAAAGTAGACATCAAAACCACCAATCTTAGAGATCACAACAAAAGAGCACCATCCAGAAGGAAGCAGGTTATAAATTAATTGTATTAACATCGGGAAACTGAGAGCTATGCAGGACTCTGTACAAGCTTCTAGTAAGTGCAAAACTAGTTCAAAATTTAAAGGTTTTAAAATTTAAAAAATAAAAATATAGTCCTACAACATATACACCAAAATTACCAAAATAAAAAACAATGTAAAATATTACCAAGATAGCAGTCATGCATTTTGGAACAACCACTTTCTAAAACTGTTTGGTTGTGTTGAATTAATGTGATCATATGTATTCCCTATGACTCAAAATTGCACTCCTACATAGACCCAATAAAAATATGTACACCTGTGAACTAAAACATGTATAAGAATGTTCACGGCAGAACTGCTTGTAAAATACCAATTATAGGGCTTCTGGGTGACTCAGTCAGTTAAACATCTGCCTTTGGCTCGGTCATAATCTCAGAGTCCTGGGATTGAGCCCTACATTAGGCTCACTGCTCATCAGGAGGTCTGCTTCTCCCTCTGTGCATACTCCTTCTCGTGCTCTCACTCTTTCTCAAATAAATAAAATTTTATGCAAACTTGCATAGCCACTCTGGAAAACAGTTGGAGGCTACTCAAGAAGTTAAAAACAGAGCTACCCTATGACCCAGCAATTGCATGACTGGGTATTTACCCCAAAGATACTGATATAGTGAAACACCAGGACACCTGCGCCTAGAAGGAGCCTCGGTGTCCATCGAAAGATGAATGGATAAAGAAGATGTGGTTTATGTATACAATGGAATATTACTCAGCCATTAGAAACGACAAATACCCACCATTTGCTTCAACGTGGATGGAACTGGAGGGTATTATGCTGAGTGAAATAAGTCAATCGGAGAAGGACAAACATTATATGGTCTCATTCATTTGGGGAATATAAATAATAGTGAAAGGGAATAGAAGGGAAAGGAGAAGAAATGGGTAGGAAATATCAGAAAGGGAGACAGAACATAAAGACTCCTAACTCTGGGAAACGAACTAGGGGTGGTGGAAGGGGAGGAGGATGGGGCTGGTGGTAAATGGGTGTCGGGCACTGAGGGGGGCACTTGACAGAATGAGCACTGGGTGTTATTCTGTATGTTGGCAAATTGAACACCAATAAAAAATAAATTTATTATAAATAAATATAAATAAGCAAAAACAAAAAAACACCCAGCAACCAGTTGTGAAACCAATGGCTAAAGATAATTAAAAAGCCACATGAAAAAAAATAAATTTTAAAAATTGAAAAAAATAAAATCTTTAAAAAATGATACTCCAAAAAAATTGATACTCCAAAATAATACTCCCAATTATAAACAACCCAAATGTCCAGAACAGGTACAGGGATTGTGCATATTCATAAAATGGAAAGCTATGTGTCAGTGAGAATAAAACTACTAAAGAAAAAACAGAGACGCCTGGGTGGCTCAGTGGTTGAGAGTCTCCCTTTGGCTCAGGGCATTATGCCGGGTTCCAGGATCGAGTCCCACATCGGGCTCCCTACAGGGAGCCTACTTCTCCCTCTGCCTATGTCTCTGCCTCTGTCGATGTGTCTCTCATGAATAAATAAATAAAATCTTAAAAAAAATAGATGAATCTCACAAATACAATGCTGGTCAGAATCCAGTTGCAAATGACAATATATCAGGCATAATGTCAAAAACCAGTGATTCTTATACTTTGGCATGCAAAGTATCTCAATAAAGCTGTTAAAATGCATGATTCTGGGGCACATGGCCAGTTCGGTTAGTGGAACATGCAACTCTCGATATGAGTTTGACCCCTGCATTGGGTGCAGAGATGACTTAAAAATAAAATCTCTTAAAAATGCATAGAGTACACATGTTCTGGTGGCAGGAATTAGGGTGATTAGTGAGTGAAAAGGAAGCACTGAAGGAAGATTCTCAGTGCTGACAATGTTCTACTTCTTGGCCAGTGTGTGTAGTAGTTAATAGTTATTTCTACCCTGTCAGAAAGTCTTGGGGTTGTACATTACTTAACAATATCTTTAATGTAGATGATGTGCTGTGAAAAGTACAGAATTTCAAGCAGGATTTACCACTCACAATTTTGGTGGGAAGGTTCATTATAGACCCTGGTGTCAGGAAATGGTAGGTTAAGAGACATGATTTGGATGACTTGTAAACACAAAGTCTTTATCTAAAAGGTAAATATTAAATGCACCTCCATCCTGGTACTCCAGTAGCAATTTAATTTTTTAATTATATATAAAAATTTATAACAACCTGACATGGATTATATTGGTAAATGATAGCATTTGTGAATAAAATTTCCCTCCCAGCTCACGTGCATGCACAGGTGCACGCACACACACAAACACTGTGCACATGGCAACTTAAAACATTGTGTTAATTCTTCTCAAGTAACAAGTCTTGAAGACACTACAAAAGTTTTTGCTTTCAGCATTGAGTGGTCACATATTTAAGGGATAAATAAAGGATTTATTACAGTCATTGCATAACTTATAGTTCACCCACAGATCTTTTATTCAGAGGCATTTTCCATTCTTTAGATCCAGTTTCTCTGCAGTCAGCATTTGCTTGTATACCTTAAAGATTGAGAGTTCACCGAATACTATTGCACATGGACATTACTACGACTTTTGTCCCCCATGAGTGCTCTCATGATGCCGCCGAAGGGTTAATAGCTTACTGAAAGCACGCCCACAGACATTGCATTGATAGGGCTTTTCACCAGTATGGACTCTCTTGTGCACAGTAAGATTACACCTTACACTGAAGGTTTTCCCACATTGATCACACTCATAGGGTTTCTCTCCAGTGTGAGTTCTTATGTGTATTGTAAGGGATACATGCCTCGCAAAAGCTTTTCCACAATCACTACATTTGAAGGGTTTCTTTTCCCTGGTGTGCTTTTTCATATGTCTCGTATAAGATAAGGGACCACTGAAGGCTTTTTCACATTCCTTACACTGATATGGTTTCGATATCAGGTGAATTTTCTTGTGCAAATTGAGTAAAGATTTCAATCTAAAGGCTTTCCCACACTGATTACAATCAAATGGTTTCTCTCCAGTGTGAATTCTCATGTGTTCTTTAAGGCATGAGCGATCCCTGAAGGCTTTCCCACAGTCATTGCACATACATGGTTTCTTTCCAGCATGCATTCTCTTGTGCACATTAAGATTACAGCTCATTCTAAAAGTCCTCCCACACTGATCACATTTGTAAGGCTTCTCACCAGTATGTATCCGCAGGTGTGCCTTCAGGGATGACAGACTACTTAATGCTTTTCCACAGTGGCTACACTCAATGGACTTCTCTCTCGAGTGAATTCTCTTATGTCTTGTAAGGTATGAAAGAATACTGAAGGTTTTCCCACAATCGTCGCAGACATAGGGCTTCTCTCTGGTATGTATTACCTTATGCGTGGTAAGCCTAGAGTTTCTACTGAAGGTCTTGCTGCACTGATTACATTTGTAGGGTTTGTTCTTTGAATGGGTTCCTTCATGTTGTTTGAGAAGTGAACTATCTCTGAAGGTTTTTCCACAATCACGGCATTCATAGGGCTTCTCCCCAGTGTGAATTCTTTTGTGCCGTGTAAGGTAAGAACTTGAACTGTAGGCTTTCCCACATTGGTTACATTTGAAAGGTTTTTCTCCACTGTGGGCTCTCATGTGCAATGCAATGGATGAGTGGTTCTGTAATACTTTACCACACTGGCTACATTGAAAAGATTTCTCTCTGATCCAAGTTTTTTCATGCTTAAGGTATAATATTGAATTTGAGACTTTCTTAGAGTCAGTGCATTCATAGGATCTCTCTTTTGTGTGTTGTCTCTTACGTATAACTAAGAAAGAATTCCTGATGAAGGTATTTTTATCTTTTTTACAGTCATTTTCTCTGGAAAGAATGCTCTCATGTGGGTTAAGTTGTGAACAATCTCTGAGGACTTTGCCAGGATGAAGAGATTGATGGGGTGTCTCTCCAGGATGAATTCTCTGATTCTGAGTAATGCTAGATTTCACGCTCAAGGCAATTTTATTCTGTTCAATGAATCTGCTTCCATGAGTTTGTTCCTATTAGTTAAAATGAGTTATGATCACAATATTTATTACATTCACTGTATTGAGAATCTTTCCCCCTCCCCTCAAATTCTGACGTGTTTAAACAAGTACTTTATTAGAATTAGAGCTTACCTAACATTTCCTTACTGAACATACACAGTTCTTGAATAAGATGAAATGTTATGCCAGGTGGCTCCCATCAGGGTCTCTTTATAGTTTAACATAATTGCTTTGGAGTGAATGTTTTCAATATTTAATATCTAACTTCCATTATGAAAATATTTATATTGGGGATTTTCTGCAACCATTTTTGGAGCTAGGGTGTGAGTTTCCTTCAAGTTCATAATATTTTAGAGATTTCCTGTTTTCTATGGGTAAAATTAGTATTTCAAATTGCCCCTTATGTGGCAATGTGTTCCTTTTCTACTACATGGAAGTCTAGATTTCTAACACAGAGCAAGAAATTCTCATGTGACTCTTACCTTCTTATCACTGAGTGCTTCTTTCTCCAAAATATCTTGTTTATCTTGTGATTGTTTGGTTTTAAGGAGAACCATCGCATCTGAACAAATTGAGGGGAAAGTAAGTTGGGGAAAGACATGGTGACAAAATACTGACAAAAGCAGGGAAAGCCCAAGCAAGCCCAATCTGAAACAGGAAACAACTTCGAGTGTGAAATGGTGTGATGAAGACAAACCTGAGGCACATGTAGATTTCTCATCAAATAGACGCTACTGGGCAGCCCGGGTGGCTCAGCAGTTTACCACCACCTTCAGCCCAGGGCCTGATCCTGGAGCCCCAGGATTGAGTCCCACATCTGGCTCCCTGCATGGAGCCTGCTTCTCCCTCTGCCTGTGTCTCTGACTCTCTCTCTGTCTCTCATGAATAAATAAATAAATAAAATCTTAAAAAATAGACCCTACTATTTACGAATACAGTGTACAAGAAAAATGCATTCTTAATCAAAAGAATTGATATTTACATATTTTAGTATTTTACATAATTTACTAAGTAATTGTTCTATCATGATTGAAAATTATGTTAACAGGCAAAGGTTATAGCTATATATGCAAAATGGGAAGAATTAGACAATGATTCTAAATGTAAATATTAAAGCATAAGAGAGATCTTTCTTTCAGAGTATAAGAAAGTATGAAATGATCGGTTAAAAGCGGAGGACTAGGGAATTCTCAAAGTACATGAATAACCTCACACCAAATGGTCTCTGGTATCTCCTCAAATTTAAAGCATATCTGTTCCCTGTTTGACTTCATAATGTACCTCTTCCTCACCCCCACCAGATATGGTAAAAAAAAAAAAATCATATATGCCCACTGCTCACATGAACAGGTAACTTGGTGATTTCTTGCCTCTGTTTTCATTTCATCTTCCTGTTCTATCTGGGCAATCAGAGTAGGTTTACTGAGCTGCTTTTCTATAATGAGGAACAATGTATGTGAAAGAAACATGCAGTGTACAACAAAAAAAAATCTTAAAACTGGCAACTTTTTATTTGAGGTTCTGAAGACAGGCAAGTATGGCCTCAGGAGCAGCAAAATGATTGGGAAATTTCTAACAAAGCAAAAGTAAAGCACTTGAGAGATCAGCTTTCAGAATAATAGAACAAGGACCCTATTTAACTCATCTCTCCCACTAAAACAACAAATGATGGTCAAAACAAAAAGAATCAATCGATTCAGAACTCTAGAAATTAGCCAAAACCATAGAACAAATGGAAAATTATCCAAGAAAAATCACTGAACCTTGGTAAAGGGTCTTTGATATTTTAACTTTAGATTATTTCTATTTTTGCTCTCTCCTCAGCTCTATGGCATGGTAATCAAAAGCCAGTAGCCTTGCAGCCAACAGAGACCTGAGCACTGTTAAAAGAACCAGCCCCAGAACAATTAATAATTTTCTTAAAAACCTTTATTTTTAAAAAGCTAGAAGAGTGATATCGTTTTTTCACATTTTGTACACCTCATTAATACATGACTTAAAGACTACTGGATTGTCATATCCACTTCTGCATTCAATCTGTTTTCTATGTTGTTTTGTTTGAATGTATGAAGAAAATCCAGTCTTGCATAGATAAGTAGTTGGAAAGGGGAGAAATATATTAATAGTCTTTAAAAATCAGTGTGGAGGGGCGGCTGGGTAGCTTAGTGGTTGAGCATCTGCTTTGGCTCAGGTCATGATCCTGGAGTCCTGGGATGGAGTCCCATATCATGCTTCCCATGGGAAGCCTTCTTCTCCCTCTGCCTAGGTCTCTGTCTCTCTATGTGTGTCTCTTATAAATAAATAAAATGGTTTTTTTTTTTTTTAATCAGTGTGGAGGGAACCCTGGGTGGCTCAGTGGTTTAATGCCTGCCTTTGGCCCAGGGCATGATCCTGGGGTCCTGGGATCGATTTCCACATTGGGCTCCCTGTGTGGAGCCTGCTTCTCCCTCTGCCTGGGTCTCTGCCTCTCTCTCTCTCTCTCTCTCTCTGTGTCTCCCATGAATAATTTTTTTAAAATCTTTAAAAAAAAAGAAAGGTTTTATTTATTTATATGAAAGAGAGTGAGCAAGAGAAAGAGAGCATGAGCAGGGGAGGAGCAGAGGGAGAGGGAAAAGCAAATTCCCCATTGAGCAGAGAGCCCAATGCAGGGCTCAATTGCAGGGTTTGGGGATCATGACCTGAGCCAAAAGCAGACACAATTGACTGAGCCACGCAGGGACCTCGGTGAGTCCTTTGTACTCTGTTACATTAAAATTCATTGTCTGTCATGAAAAATAAATATTTTTCTAAGCTTGCAGCTCCCTAGAAAATCTATATCCTCAGGGTGATGTGGCTATTGGATTTTATTCAGAGCTCAGCATAGCAGAAAAAAAGGCTGTTAGCTCCAAGGCTTTACCTTGGGGACTTTGAAAACCTCAAATCAGTTCCTGGGGTTCAGAATTCTGTGCATGAGCAAAGCTATGCACATGCCCAAGAAAGAGGGTAAATCCCAAATTACTTAGCTTCGATTGACTCTTAGATCCTGCCCAAACCAAAAGTGAAAAATGACCTTATCTTATGAGTCGCTTGAAGCTTAAAGGCATGACTTCTTACAAAGATCTACTTGGCAAGAGATGAGGAGACAAAGGCAAGGCATTTAAGAAAATGCTACTAATCATTTTTGGACTACAAACTTATAATGACCAGGAAACCATGCTTAAAAGTTAAAATAAGCATTTTTAAATTTTTAAATTTTCTTTTTTAATAGGCTGTATGCCCAGTGTGGAGCCCAAAAGGCCTTGAACTTACAACCCTAAGACCAAAACCTAAATTGAGATCAATAGTAGAATGCTTAGGGGATCCCTGGGTGGCTCTGCAGTTTAGCGCCTGTCTTCGGCCCAGGGCGTGATCCTGGAGTCCTGGGATCGGATCCCATGTCGGGCTCCCTACATGAGCCTGCTTCTCCCTCTGCCTGTGTCTCTCTGCCTCTCTGTGTGTGTCTCTCATGAATAAATAAATAAAACCTTTAAAAAAATAGGATGCTTAACTGACTGACCCACCCAAGTGCACCCAAATAAGCACTTTCTTCTAAGAGTTTGGGGAACCCTGGGTGGCGCAGCGGTTTGGTGCCTGCCTTTGGCCCAGGGCGTGATCCCGGAGACCCGGGATCGAATCCCACGTTGGGCTCCCAGTGCATGGAGCCTGCTTCTCCCTCTGCCTATGTCTCTGCCTCTCTCTCTCTCTCTCTCTGTGTGACTATCATAAATAAAATAAAAAATAAAAAAAATAAGAGTTTGGAGAAAATTCTGTGGCCAAACATTGTAGGGAATACAGAATCTGTGGGACTCAGCTAGGGAGGTGACTAAACAAATAAGCACCAGCAAGATAACAGCAACAATAAACCTTGATGGCAAAGGCATCTGATGCTAGATAGGTAAAATATATTCTCTAAAATGTAATTTTGAGGAATAAATTGAGACATGCAAAGAAACAGGAAAGTATACCACACATGGGTGGGGGGGTTGGGGGGTAAGAAAAGCAGCCACACAGGATACAAAATCAATGCCCAGAAATCAGTGGCATTTCTATACACTAACAATGAGACTGAAGAAAGAGAAATTAAGGACTCAATCCCATTTACAAGTGCACCCAAAAGCATAAGATACCTAGGAATAAACCTAACCAAAGAGGTAAAGGATCTATACCCTAAAAACTGCAGAACACTTCTGAAAGAAATTGAGGAAGACACAAAGAGGTGGAAAAATATTCCATGCTCATGGATTCGAAGAATTAATATTGTGAAAATGTCAATGCTACCCAGGGCAATTTACACGTTTAATGCAATCCCTATCAAAATACCATGGACTTTCTTCAGAGAGTTAGAACAAATTATTTTAAGATTTGTGTGGAACCAGAAAAGACCCCGAATAGCCAGGGGAATTTTAAAAAAGAAAACCATAGCTGGGGGCATCACAATGCCAGATTTCAGGGTGTACTACAAAGCTGTGGTCATCAAGACAGTGTGGTACTGGCACAAAAACAGACACATAGATCAATGGAACAGAATAGAGAACCCAGAAGTGGACCCTGAACTTTATGGTCAACTAATATTCGATAAAGGAGGAAAGACT